CAATTTTCAATTAATAGAGAAGGGCGATTAACATAGTAAAAAAAATAGTTTTCCTTGGGTGAACGTGGCATTTCCGCCATAAGTGATTTACATAGTGATTTGCATCACGTTATATAAAAGTCAACATATGGGTAAGCTGCAGCATTTTTTTTATAGTATGATTTACTGTAGATCTTTTCTATAAAAAAATTTAGCAACTCGATTGTGTATTAAATCTGCTCATATAATAACAAAAAAGTTGAAAAAGACTAGCACAAATGCTACCCTGAGAGCTAAAAAGCTAAAAAATTAAATTTAAAAAAAACTTAAAAACTAAAAACTAATTAAGACTATATTCTTGATGTACCACCTAGGTTTAAAAGCTAAAAATTAAAAAAGCTACTATTTAAAAAACTTAAAAACTAAAAAAATTAAGATTGTGCCTCAGGAGATCACCTGGGTTTGAGAGCTAGTAGAACTCATATATCCCATATATCCATACTATAAATCAGGGTTGGCAAATAAAATATCATTTAAAATTTTAGTGACAAATAACAAATTAGTAACAAATGACAAAAGTCATTTATTATTTTTATTATTTAAAAATAACAAATTTAACCAATCACAAAATCTCAAGATTGTTAAGACTTTGGTTGTTTTAGGGTCTAACCAATCCTAAAAACATAAAACCTTGGGATCTTAACATTTTAAATATAAACTATTTTTGTTATTTGTCATTTACCTTCTAAATGACAAAATGACAAATGTCAATATCACAATGTTATTTATGTTATTTAAAAATCATTTGCCAACCTGCTGTAAATTACTGTGAAAGATATCCTCTTGAATTGTGCCAGGTACTTTTCAAAGTTATTTGTTGTAGAGTTTGGTAAGTGATTCAGTATAAATCAATAGCTGATTTAATAATAATAATTTTTTTCATAATAAACTAATGTACATTTCACAAACTACCCAGATAATATACCCAGCTAAACAATATATCCGGGTATAAATCAAGATTTATTGTTATGTGGAATGTAAAATATCTGGATATCTTGCATGATAATTTATGGTAATATATCTCTTTATAATATTTCTTTGTAGGTGTTTCTAGAGCTGTTACCCAGGGTGGGCTAACCTGTAAGGATCGCGGGTTGAAAATCGCCTTGACACGATCAAACGGGTTAGGGATTCAAAGCATTTATTTTTGCTACTGCTGCACTGACTTTTTTGATACACCCAAACATATTCTAAAATTTCTATACTTTTTACTAACTTTTACTATAATAATGTGCAATTTTATTGGTTATGTTTAGATATATCAATAAAGTAAGTACAGAAGCATCAAAAATAACTATTTTGCATTAGAGATAAATTATAATTAACCGGGTTTTCCAATGTAAAGCTTGAAATGGTTTGACTTTACAATATTTTGAACCATATATCTCAATATACCACGACTTAAAGTTTAATTATTGAGCTTCCTACGTGACTATTAGTCTGTGACGTAACCTGGGTCAAAAAAGTTTAACTTGAATTTTACCGGATAAGAGCTCTAGATGTTTTGCAGATCATTATGGTGTGGTTTTAATTTGCCTGGACTATACTGATCTGCTCACCCGTACTATACACCATTTTTCTTCTAGACCATCTCTTATGTAATTTATTTTTTAAAACCGGAAGCGAAGCGACAGGTTATATCCTAGTTTTTTTTTATTAATTTTGTTATCTTTTGTTAGTTTTGTTACCTTTTGTCGGTTTTGTCACTTTTGTCAGTTTTTTGTTGTTTAAAAATTTTTTGACAAAAGATTTTGACTTTTGTCAGTGACAAAACCCTTAGGTTTTGTCTAACAACATTAAGAGCATCGTGCCTCAAGATATAGGAATGATATGATGTGTTCAATAAGATCTGTAAAATCCATAATATGTACCGTTGGCCACTGCCTACAGTATTCCCAAAAATAATACCCCATGATAAGATCCGGGTATTATTCAGCATCCCTACCGGCTTGTACTTGAATAAAACTATATCGATTTACCACTTTTAATATGATATACAGTATTCCCAAATATAGTACCCGATCACAAAGTCAGAGCTTTCGGGTTAATACTTTCCGATCACAAGTCAGAGATTTCGGGTTAATGCTCCCCCGATCACAGGTCATTTAACCGACATCACACAGCGTGACATTTCGACATTTTTATTAGTTGTAGTTATATATTCGTACTGTAAGTAAATTGTCACCTAGTGTGATGTTAGGTAAATGTTACTCATAATGTATCACTAGACTAAATAATCTGAAAGTAAAACCTCGTGACATGGTTTCCCACATTTATTTGTATTACGCCGAGTAGCTCTTCAAAAATTTTTTATTCAATATTCAATAAACCAGAAAAATGGAAAATAACTTTGACATTCCTACAAATTATACATCTCCTACCTGGCCTTCTCTTTACTGGCCTTTTAGCACTGCGAATTACTTGTACTACGAAAGCGGTTAGGTTTTTTTCTTTTACTTGTTTGTTGTAACTCATTAGTCTAAATTTAATTTAAAACACTTGTAAAATGTAGATATTTGGAAATTCACTGCTATTTGGACCATAATATTTTTTACATTCATATATGGTTTCGCGGGATTGTGTACTTGGGCAGTTTTTCGTAAATATCGATGGTCATTTTTAATTCCAATAGGATTCATTATTATAGCGCTGTTAACGGGACTTATTAATAGTGTGATAATTGGTAAGTATATTGACTGGACAAAAAACATTTCGGTACTATGAAATCGTGATAGAATCTGACAAAAATAACAAAAAGATAGTACCTATGGGAGGGTGGGAGAGGTGTGAGGGGAGGGAAAGAATGCACCATTACATTATTGTTT